CCCACCCCCAAAAAAAGGAATTTATGAAAATGACATAGGGTGGCTCATCAAGTCAACAGAAAAAATAAGCCCACAGGCTCAAAGAGGACAGTGCCCAGGGGGCTGCGGGTACCAAGGGAGCAGGAATTCACTGACTGTCTCTGCAAAAGGACAGTCTCAGCAGCAAGGCCATGGGTTCGTGTCGACTGTCCTTCTGAAGGGCTCCCTTCTTGGCTCATTCTGCTCAAGATTTAAATCCCCACTCCAAATTCTCTGAATGTCCTTGCTTGGGTAATGCATTCACCCCTTGACCTGGACAAGACACGGCAGCCTGTCAGTCCTACAGAGCCTGGGTTCAGGTAGCTCCTCAATGGGAAATGAAGGTGCTGACATCGGAAGGTAAAAGGAGGATTGTGGGCAATCTGAACACCAGGAGTCCTCTGCACCCACCCATTGCAATCTCTGATCACACATGCTTTCCCCAGTTTTTCTGTCAGGTCCCACCTACCCTCCCACGTGATTGCCTGGGACATAATCTCTCTCCTCTGGATTCCTAGACCTCTGTGCTCTGCACTGGTGGCCTTGATGGTCATTAGAAATTGGTTTCTATAGTTTTGTCTTCAGCCTCATTTCCAGCTCCTTGAAGGCAGGGGACACTCTCGACACATCTTTGTCCCAACTCTGTATTTAGCACAGAGAGCTCTACGTGGCAGGTGCTCGCTAAGCAGCAATGAGCACACATCGTATCCAGATCTTAGTTTCTAACACAATTTCTCAATAAAAGGAAACATGACTGTTGGGAAATTCTAGGACAGGCATAGGAAAAATACAAGAAGATCCTGAGGTATCTTCTAATAGGTAAGATGGTAAGAAAGTACCAAAAGGAAAAACCCCACAATGATGGGGCTCTACCAAAAGGCGGCAGAAGCCACCTGAAAGGGCTTTCAATGGTCAAAGCTGGAACAGCCTGAGCAACAAAATAAAGTTGTACCGGGATGTAATACAAGTATAAAATAAATACCATGAGTCCAGGGATATAAATGGCTGAATAAGTAAGTAGACATCTCTCTCCTGTACAGAATTATCCCACATAATTTACACAGATACTAAGCTTTAAGAAGGTGGAGCCCAGCTGGCGTTGCTCAGCAGTGGAGCATCGACCTACGATCCGGGAGATGGAGGTTCGATTCCCAGTCAGGGCACATGCCCAAGGGTTGTGGGCTCAATCCCCAGTAGGGGGCGTGCAGGAGGCAGCCGATCAAAGACTCTCTCTTCACTGATGTTTCAATCTCTCTCTCCCTCTCTTCCTCTCTGAAATCAATAAAGACATATTAAAACAAACAAACAACGGTGGAGCACAACCCCCTTCTAGCTAATCAGCTAGACTTGAGCACTTCCTTCCAGAAAGGACACAGTCTTGCCCTACTACCTCCACTTCGCTCTCCTGACTCCCTCCTTGATAGCCAGTTAAAACCCAATTCCAATTTCACATCCCGAAGTCCCTGGTCATTTGCCTGCTTTCAAGTGTAGGTGTTCATCAAGAGAGATTCACCTAACTCTAATCTAGGCACAGAAAGGAAGTAAGAATTGAGGTCCAAGGTTCCTTTAAAAGTTCAATTAATATAACAAAGTTGGAGGAGCTGAGTCCTGACTAACCCTACCAGCTTCTGCCTTCAGCAGTAGCAATAACATCCATCACTGATGGCTAATACATCATACTTTCTCTGGGGAAAATGTGCTAATATATTACTTTATTTCATCCAATTTTTACAACATTGTAACTTTGAAACTGATACCTCTCTTCCGCCAATTTTACAGATGGAGGAAGCAGGTTTAGAAAGACCAAGCAATTTGTCTAATATTGCACATCTGTTAAGTAGCAGAGCTGGGATTCTAAACAGATCTAATGCTATGTGTGAATCTTAACCAACTTGCCATAATACCTTTCTTGGTATTCCTGACTTACAGCCACAAAGTGATAGGATTCGCAAGAGACTGTTTCTCACTCTGTGAATAGTGTACAACTAACTGCAAGGGAACATTTTGTTTAAGGTTCTTCAGGAAGCCTGCCTGATGTAATGGAACCTCTGCTCCTGTAAAGTATCCCTCTGACTTAGAATTCAGCACCACAGGAAAAAGAACTCCACAATTAGTATTAGGGTTTCCACTCATTCACTTCCCTGGCTAATCATTAAAATAAAATTTCAAATACAGTGACATAGAGTGTTACCTAAGAAGGAGCTGATCAATCTTGTTAGCCCAATTTCTAAAATGAGTTAAGATTCAAACACTTTAGTCTAAGAGCAAAGTCTTTTTATTGTTGAAAACATATCACAGAGCAATCAAATTTCTGTTTTAAAATAAAAATTTAAAATATTCAGTCTTTTCTATTCTCTTTGCAAGTGACACTTTAATACATTGTACATGCACAGCAGAGAGTGAAGATAAGTGCAATTGACCCTACTACTCACTCTACCTCAAATTAATAAGTTAATATGTTGGAGAATGAATTGCTTTAGCTAAAAAGTTTGCTCCAACTTTTAACCTTCTTAACTGAAGTAAATTATAGTTCATCTCCTGTGGGCCAACCACTAATGATGCCCAGAGAAAGAGATTGTAATTACTTTTAATCATAGTTTTTGCCATATTAATTTCTGTTAGCCCACAGACATACATCTGAAATTCATAACTACATAGATATATTTTCTTTTTTTTTCTATTTATCAATTAGAAACAGATTATAAAGTGAGCAAGCACAAGTAATTATTAAGAGGGAAACCACTGCCTTTTTAAGAATTACTAGTATTCAATTATTCAAGTCAGTAAGCATTCTTAGGGGCTGTGTTTGGGGCTTACATTATACTATAGCTAAGGAGAGTCAAGGCTTTATTTTTAAAATGCTTAATCCCAAGGTTTCCTTCTATGTGGTAAGAATGGTTACATTAAAATATAAAGACAAGAAAAAAAAAATTGTAACACAACTGGTTTTCTTGGAAACAATTTTTACATTTTGGAACTCAAGGGTGACTTTGTTACTTTATAACACAGTTTCCCAATTCAAAAGGAATTCTCCCAAACAAAAAATGTTCCTACTGCTAAAAGTATTACAATAAAAAATGAGCAAAAATCCAAATGAAACCATAAATCCTCATATTCTGAGGCTCTGGGACAACAAGGACAACAAAAATCAAGATGATCTTGGGCACTGGAGAAAAGCAGAGCTGAAGAGAAGAGGCGAGGTGATGTATCATGAAGTGGTGAAGCCATCAGCCACTTTCTCCACAAAAATCTCCGAGGCAGCGGAGCTCGGTGATATATGCTACCTTGGTTCTCTCCTGTTGCTCCCTCACTTGGACTCATAAACCTTTTAAGACATCATCCACCTCCTCCAGAACTAACTGGGGCTTCAGGAGATGAGTGGGGTGTAAGTTCAGAGATCCTGGCTTCAAGCAAATGTCCCTATTAATAGAAAACAGATGGGAGGGAAGAAAAACAAAGAAATAAAGGAAAAATATTATTTACAAACACATAAGCTCGGGGGAAAGTAGCGGCAGGGAAAGAGGAATGACGACTTAGGTCCAGGAGAAAGTACTGCTGGCATTAAGCACTGACTAACAAGGTGAGACGGGGAACATGGGCCCCAGGTCACAGATGAGTGAGCACCCGGAGTTAAGGAAGGACCAAGTCTAGCACCCCAATGACGGCTCAATTTCCCTAACACGACGAAGCCCGTAAGTAACAATCTTATCTGCAGCTACCTCCTCAAATTAAATCTGTATTTAGAGAAAGAGAAACCCTAAAACAACGTCTTACAAACAAAAACCACAAAACATGGCAGTCACAGATCTGTTCATTTACTCAAGCACCGTGTCTCAGCCCCTTCTCAATAAACGCCAGCGAAATCAAATTAACTCCCGCTTCCACACAGATGACAGTCCAGCAGAAAAGAAAGACAGACGTGCTGAAAAACAAAAAACAAAAGCACTTCTGCATGGAAGCTGTGGCATTTTAAAAGTGAGAGAAATCATCCAGCACCAAGTTTTACCTAACACTGGGTTACAGACAAACCCCCCCCCCCAGAAGAATGAGAATGAATGAAATGGGGCTGGGGGCCGTGAAAAATACCAATGATAACAGCAGCTAACATCAAGGAAAGGCTTTACATATGTTAAATAATTTAATCTTCGCCAAGACCCCCGTGAAAGACCTACAATTCTCCCCACTCTACCAAGAATGAAAGTTGAAAGAGGTCGGGAAACTTGCCTAAATGTCAAAACTTGTAAGGAGCAGAGCTGGGACCCGAATGGGGGTCCCTGGCTCTCACCCCGGTCCTGCTGCACGTGATAAAAACGTCATTACTCACAGAACGACGTCAGACCCACAGCCTAGGTCCATCCATTCATTCCTGCAGAACACACTCTCCCATCTCTGTAGTTTACAAACGAAAACAAAGCAAAACAAACAAACAAAAGCCCTCTGAGGCTCAGAGGCATTCCCAAGGTTACGCAAGGGCCCAGGCGGCGGGGTCGGGGGCCGGAGGCCCGAAGGGCGCTGCTGACGGCGCCCCGCAGCCCGGCTTGGGCCGTCCCTTTGACCTCGGCCACGTCAGGCTCCGTTTCTCCGAAGGGCCCAGCACCGCCTCGCTCCAGCCTCGCGCCTCAGACGCGCACTGGTCC